ATATATATATATATATATATATATGAAAACTTCCTGTGTATCATAGATAAGCATGCGTATAGAGAACGAACAGTGCACTACAGTGGCATCTACAACTCAAAAGACAAATTATCAGTATATGCTGTTGCATTTCCAACACCCCTTCTGACCAGCATATGTGTTGCTATATGACGTTTAGCTTCTATCGAAGGAAACTCTAACGATCCTTTGGCAATGGCTTGGTAAATGCATCCGCAGTCATTTCTTTTGATGAGCAATATTGCATGTCGATAATGGCTTGCTCTTGAGTGTCCAGGTTTTATTTTCTTGGAGTTTTTTTATTTCTTCTGCTGCCTGTCTCCATTGATTGGATTCACGTTTTGGTAGCTTTTATATGTGTCCCTATGATGTTGGCCTGAGTATTCTATGGGGGGGATTTATCAAAACTGAAGCAGACAAAATCTGGAGCAGATTTGCACTGCAACTAATCAGCTTCTAGCTCTCATTTTCAAATCTCAACTGAACAAACTGAAGAAAGAAGCTGATTGGTTGCCGTGGGCAACTGCTCCAGTTATAATAAATTCCCCCCAATGTTTCTTAGCAGTATATGACAGCTTGCAGGGTGGTATTTCCTTTGTTGCCCGAGTGGTGCTTTTATGCACCTTAAAGTGCTTTCTCGTTTCATCATTGAGCATATTTGCTTTCCTTCTGTCATATTCATCATTTCATTTCCTCTGGTGGATTCTAGTAGAGCTGCAACAGTTAATCGATTTAGTCGATTAAAATAGACGATTGAAAACGTTACTAACGTTTTCGATCGTCCATTCGTCGGCTATCAATTGATTTCCCTGTTCGGGGCTCTACACGCGGCCTGAAGCACACGTCACACGCTGCTCACGTACCGCTGCGCCCGCCGTGCTCACAGGACACCGCACGCTGCTCCCGCCGTGCCCACAGGACGCATAAGCCACGCCCACCGCATCAGAATATTAGCTGCAGCTCTAGATTCTAGTGTTAGTTCTTGCTCAAGTCTGGTTTCTAGAGCGTTAATAAGAGCACTGTGACTCTGGAAGGCTGCATAGCAGTTATGCCACCACGTGGTTCTCTTTAATTTCCTCTGCAATTACACGTAGCAGTTCTACAATTTCCAGCATGAGATTCACATGTTCACGCTTTTCCTGGCCTTTTTCTAGCCTCATCTTATATAGCTTACATAGCAGATATAGTTTACGGTTTAGGTTTGAACGTTCATGCAGTTTTTGTAATGCAACCTACATATCTTTAGCTGTATTCTCTTATCTTATGTGGATGAGCTGGTCGTCTTCCACTAGCAGACTTATAATTGCTTTTGCTTGCTTGTTTTTCTTGTCCCGTGGGTTCATTAGTGAGTCTGCCTGTACTCAGTACTTGCCACAAGATGTCTTTGCTTAGCAGCATTTCAAGCTTCAACTTCCATAGCTGGTAGTTGCTATTATTGAGCTTTGTGATTGCAAACTTTATATCTAAGCTATTTGCCCACTTTTTAGTAGCTTGGCTGCGGCTCTTGTTGACTTGCAGTGCTCTGTCTAGTGCCTGGGCCCATAGCCTGTTGGTTATGTCTTTAGATGAAGCACTGAGATCTTGAGAAGTATGGAATTAAGTTTTACTTGCTTAGGAGAACATTATATCAGAATACAGCATTGTTAAGGAAACATATTTAGATAGAAAACAATGATACACAGGAAGTATTCCTATATGCATGCTTATAGAAAACTAACATTGCACTACAGCGCCATCTACAGCTCAAAAGACAACTTATCAGTATATGCTACTGCATTTCCAACAGGGGAGACCTGCAGATGCGCACACACCCGAACAGCCATGGAGAGATCCACTGCCACACCTGCCCGCTAGGACTGCAACCTACTAAATCGACAATACCCGATAATGAGAAAAGTTGTCAACTATCCTCATAATCGATTAGTTGGATTCCCTAGCTCTCTCCTCCACGCTGGGAGGAGGGCACAGCAAGCAGTGGGCGGGTGCCATTTGAAATGGCCAATAGCAGGCTGGCTATTGAACCAGCGCACTAACTGCTGTATTTACATTCAGCTGCCATCTGTGAAAACTTGCCACTGGCAGCTGTGACTCCGTGGCTGAAGCTATTCAAGTGCCATGTGCTTACAATACAATGATTAAAAAGAACACAGTGTGATTGCCCGCACTGGAATGCACAGTAGCGCAATGCCGTGCATTCCAGTGCAGTGCGATTGCAAATAATTGTCCGTGCAGTTTTATTCTGAAGTAAACTTTATGTTTGCAACACTGCATTTGTGTATTTTATTTTAAATTGAGGATGGTATTTAAATTTTGTTTATCCGAGTAATCGAAAAACTAAAAAATCAGCCAATTAATCGATTATGAAAATAATCATTAGTTGCAGCCCTACTGCCTGCGCAGTCCTGGGTAGACCCGTACACAGCCCTGGTGAGACCCACACAGCCTTGCAATTTAATTTTTAATTGTCAAGTAAAATTCCATTGCTCTATCAATTTTCCTCCAAGTTCTACGGGAGGACACAAACTAGCGTCCTCCCGTCACCCTCAGCTCAGTATACCGTGAGCTACAGCTCGCGGCATACTGAGACGCCGCAGTATACCGCGAGCTACAGCTCGCGGACTACTGAGAAGCTGCAGCTGAAGTGGATCCCGACAATTATGTCTGGATCCGCCCAGCTGCGTGAGTGACAGCTGGTTCTGACTATCTAGAGGCAGAGCCAGCTGTACTCACCCCCTCCCCCATCCATTCCGCCAGTCAGTGCTGGAGGATCGGAGGGAATCCAGCCCCTCAGTTGACACGGTAGTGAAGTGAGCGAACACTGGTATGCGATCTCCCGATCTCCTTAGCCGACCTGTGACAGTCTCATTGTCACAGGTCGGCTAGAACTATGAGGTGAGTGAAAAGCACTCACCTCTTAGTTCTCCTTCAAAGGAGACACATTAGAAGAAGAGTAAAATAAACTCTTCTCAATACTCAGGGACACTGCAGCTGCCACATGCAAGCTCTAAGACCGAGAGTTGAGCAATCATGTAACTGCTATTCGCTCAGCTAATGGTCTTTTCCCTGCTCTAGGGAGGCAGTGCCAGCTGTCAATCAGGCAGCCGGGTGGATCCCAACAATATGGTTGGCATCCTTTCCTGCTGCAGCATGGCTCTGCAGTGTCAGCATACAGTGGGCAGTAAAGTATAGCAAGGTCAAATATAGCACTTTAATAAATATACTCCTGTGATGCAAAAGAGAAGGCCACAAATGGGTTATTACTCTTTTTATATCATTTCAGATATTTGATTTTACCCAAAGGGTTTTCTCGAAACAAATACATTACTTCTGAAAATTGCTCACACTCTATTTCTGGCTGGAATGATTAACAGGTTATCACAAGAAAAATCAATTCAAAACACCCTTACTGCCATGTAATTAGTAGAAAAATGATTCTGGAACTTACTGTTTTGACCAAGTGCCTTAAGCAGACAATCCAAACATCCATCTAGCTTGTCAGATGTGCAGTCAGATCCAGTTAGCTTCAACTTCTCCAAGGTGTCACTTAAATTATCTGCAACATGAGCATGAAACAAAAAAGGAGATCAGCAAAAATTCATAGTTTTGTATTAACCCTTTTACTTAAAGAAGAACGCCAGGGGAAGATTTTATTAACCCTTGCAGTGGGCCTACCGATGCACTGCAAGAGTTCCCTCGTTTTTTGTCTATCGCTGCAGATTAGGGGGAGAGAGGCTCTAAGGACCGGTCTAAGAACACGCTTCCTCAAATTATCTCGGGTGAGTATACCTTTTTTTTTATAGCACCTAGACACAAATAAGCAGTTAACCCTTGCAGTGCAGGGGTTGGGGGAGGGCCGGTTAGCGGTTTCCAAGAGAGGGAATCCATGAGTAGAAGTCAAAGTGAAAACTTGAGTTTTCACTTTGGAGTCTCGCCCCTCAGTATATGTACTGGCGCTATATGGATCATTAAAAAAAAAAATGGATTTACTTTGTTATAGTCACAATGAACTTAGTTAATATTTTTATATGCAACAATCTATGAAAACAGCCGATACTGTATGCTGTTAACACATACACTATAACTGGGGGAACACTCAAATAGAATGATGCAGATCCCAAAAAATCTAATAATCATTCTTCCAAATATTTTAAAGAGTATTCAATATTAAACGTTGCCAAACTCCATCCTTTCTACATTTGCCTCATTGCTTCATGCACACGAGACCTGCAGCACAAGAATATGAACAGATGTGCACAAATGAGTGGCATTCTAATCTGAAAGCATTTTGAAAAAGGTGCCAGGTTTTTTTTTTCATTATTCGTTTTTTCCGACTCTGGAATTTTAAATTAGTCAAGCCGCAGACGCAAGTCACTTGTAACTTTGTGGTTAACAACGCAATTTAAATTAGTCATCTTTGCAGCAATGATAATTTCACACGTTTTAATAATAATCAGTATCTGCACAGAAAACAGTCCCATTTAATAGGCCATCAACCTTCTTTTAATCTTCAAATGTGCAAAAACATTCCCGATTTATATTAGAGAGCATCAATCCGATTGTAGCAACGGAAGTCCAAACAAATCTACCCACCTTCTTGTTTTGAAATGTATGTATATGAATATAATGTTGTCAAGCTTTACCTTTCTACCATACACAGCCATATTCTAAAGGACAAAGTGAAAGGTGCAGGAAAAAAAAAACTGATTCAAATATGGACTGATTGCAACAGCTGTAACGGTCTTTATTTCTGAAACAATACAGTCTCAAAGTTCACAGCAGAAGTACTGAAGTCATCTTCTCTCAGCAGCATGGCTCACTCTGCTACCCCCTCCCAGAACTCCTGCTCAGTATTTAAATTAGAGATTACAAGACTGGAAGGCTTCAACATCCCTGCTGTGGGGGAGGAAGCAGAAAGAGCCCTAAGGAATGACTTGGATGTCGTCAGTGCTTCTGCTGTAAATTTTCAGGATGAATTGCTCCAAGGTGCTTTCAGCTATAGGTCAGTGAGGACTTGCTATAAAGCTAATTTACTACTTGTTACAAATGGGCAAATACTTTAATGCCACAGCCAGACCACAAGTTTACTACAAGTGTATAGACATTTGCACTGGAAAGATCACTTTCTGATTATTAGTGTTCTAGTACCTGATGAAGTTGAATAAATCTTTAGCATGTAGTTTTTCCCCTCTTGGAGTGATAACCAGACATCTTCAATGCAAATTGGCATGTTAAATATCTAAAAAGAACTGTAATCTCTTTTTAAATGGCAAATACTGGGGTAAAGTTGGATTTCTCGTGCAGTATGCCAAACAGTGCTGGAGCGATTGGGAGGGACCAAGCAGGGCTTTGACATCATTTCCCTAAATTCCTGCACATACAGCAATGTGTTGTTAATCTAAAGCAAATAGGCTAGTCACAAATAGACTTAATCATAACTGTCAGCATCTAAGCAGTTAATGCAGTAGCAGCAAGCCTGAGAACACTATAGTGATTTCATTGCAGAAGAATGCCGTCATCCTTTTAAAGAAAGGGCCTATCCAATGGTTCTACTAGCAGGATCAACAGGTATTAACAAAATATTTAAAAGAGTACTTCGAAGAACAGAGATCCCCATCTTACTGGTATGGGCACGTAGCACTCAATTGAGGTGGGTTGTTAAGCCAGTTCCCGCACCGAAAATCTGTTCTGTCGAACAACAAAATTCGGTGAGTTGGTATTGCCAACGAACGATTATCGAAATCGACATTGGTCTGTGCATGATGGGGTATTAGAGCGGAAATCCAACTAGGGTTCTTCGCAGCAACAGAAATTTATGATCAATAATCTATAGGCCAGCTTTAGGCATTTACTGAATTTCTTAGTAACATTAAACACACGGAAAGCCAAAGTTATATTTTGGAAGTCCAAAAGACATGGTAACTGCATAAAATAATTCTTGAAACTTTTCCAGAAACATTATTCTTCACGGTGCTGGTAATGCAAAAAAGGAGAGGTGGCAGTACTCACGCCCTATCCCATCCCTAAGAGGTCACGCCCTATTTTTGGCTGGAGTTCGGCCTTAAATTTGTTTGTGATGCACATGACCAAAACAAAACATGTTGGAGGGGAATTTATCAAAACTGGAGCATACAAAATCTGGAGCAGTTGCCCAGGGCAACCAATCACCTCTCTTCAGTTAAGATTTGAAAATGAAAAAGAAGCGGATTGGTTGCCGTGCACAGTTGCTCCAGATTTTGTCTGTTACAGTTTTGATAAATTCCCCTCATTGTGTCTATGGTGAAGGAGCAATCATGCAATGAACAGCAAAGCATATGCCGACATGATATACCTCTGTATATTTACTATGTTTTTATTTCCGAGTCTAGCTCATATGCTGAGCACCAACGTTAAAAGGAATAAAAAAATAAAAAATAAAAATAAAAGGAACTATCCATGAATGTAAGCACATCAAGACTCTAGCAGCCTCTAGCAAATGCAATAAAAAGATTTCTGTTACATGCAAAAGAATTACATTTTATATTGGCTCAGACATCTGTATTTGGTTATTATTTCTGGGGACAATTTTGTTCTGACCACTGTTCTATATTTCCAGTGGCAACAAATGCCTCTCCAAGTGCTCCTTAAAGAAAGTGCTGAGAATTACTGTACAACGGTAAACAAAGGTGAACTCATACTTGTCCATTAGAGATCTGCTTAGTGTCTGGTTGTTATGCCAACTTCCTACTTAAAGGCCACAGTGAGACAATAAACTGTCTTTGGGGATTTACAAGAGAAACTCTAATGGTAACATGCTGCGAAAAGAACTGCCAAGAGGTGTTCTTTTTGCAGCATGTTACCATTACAGTTTCTCTTAAAAATGTATTCCTTGAATACATGTATAACATTTTTAAATTATTGTTATTGCTCAACTGTTAAAACAACTGAAAACGTATACAGATTATACAGCCATCCACAACTCCGCCCCCGGATATATCTCAGACCTTGTCTCAAAGTATCACCCTAACCATCCCCTCCGCTCATCCATTGACCTCCTGCTTTCCAGCTCCCTTGTCCACTCCTCCCATACTCGCCTCCAGGACTTCTCTAGAGGCTCTCCCATCCTCTGGAACTCCTTACCCCAACCTGTCCGTCTATCTCCCACCTTGACTGCCTTTAGGAGTCCCCTAAAGACTCATCTCTTCAGGGAAGCCTATCCCACCTCAACCTAACCACTAAACCTTCACATTCTCACATAATTCATTCCCACAGCTACCTCATGTATCATTTCCCCCTCCCTTTTAGATTGTAAGCCCTCAGGGGCAGGGCCCTCCTTACCATCTTGTCTTGAATTGTATTGTAACGGTAATGTCTTCCTTATATTGTAAAGCGCTGCGCAAACTGTAATAATAATAATACAGATTAGAAGAACAAAGCACTTCTATGACACAAGTACCATCACAGTAGACTGTATATATCTATATACAGTATCAGAAGTAAATTTCACGGATTCTGAAACAGTCATACTTTGCCTCGAATCATTCTGATTCTGGCTTTGATTTTGGCTTTCTTGTGCATCACACACACACACCCCCCGGCCACTTTATTAGGTACACCTTGCTAGTACCAGGTTGGACCCCCTTTTGCCTTCAGAACTGTCTTAATTTTTTGTGGCATAGATTCAACAAGGTTTTGGAAACGTTCCTCAGAGATTTTGGTCCATATTGACATGATTGCATTACGCAGTTGCTGCAGATTTGTCGGCTGCACATCCGTGATGCGAATCTCCCGTTTCATCACATTCCAAAAGATGCTCTATTGAATTGAGGTCTGGTGACTGTACAGGCCATTGGAGTACAGTGAACTCATTGTCATGTTCAAGAAACCAGTTTGAGATGATGTGAGCTTTGTGACATGGTGCATTATCCTGCTGGAAGTAGCCACCAGAGGACGGGTACACTGTAGTCATCAAGGGATGGACGTGGTCAGCAATGATACTCATTTAGGCCGTGGCATTTAAACGATGCTCAATTGGTACTAAGGGGCTCAACGTGTGCCAAGAAAATATCCCCCACACCATTACACCTACACCACCAGCCTGAACCATTGATACAAGGCAGGATGGATCCATGCTTTCATCAAGTTTACGCCAAATTCTGACCCTACCATCTGAATGTTGCAGCTGAAATAGATTGAAGAAAATAGGTCACCAGCACTCCATAAGTTAAAATGAATGAGTCCTTTTAATGGACAATGATGTCACAGAAATCCAACATGAGCCGACGTTTCGGGGCCACACAGGGTCCCTTCTTCAAGGCAAGAGAAGAAGGGACCCTGTGTGGCCCCGAAACGTCGGCTCATGTTGGATTTCTGTGACATCATTGTCCATTAAAAAGGACTCATTCATTTTAACTTATGGAGTGCTGGTGACCTATTTTCTTCAATCTTGTGTTTTGCACGGTGCCATCCGTGAAGTTACTTCGAGCACCATTTATTTGATTGTTGGCCGGGACTGCTGAAAGGTGTGCGGAGGGCACCTCCATCAATTGCAGCTGAAATAGAGACTCAGACCAGGCAATGTT